AAATCTTTATCTCCATAAAGCTTTTCAGCAGATGGAAGCATGAAGTGCTCCAAAATCTCCTGATAGCTAGCTGCATTGACCCTGCCCTTGATAAAACACAGTGGACCAACACCAGCAGCTGACATGGCACCCCAGACCATCACTGACTGTGGGTACTTGACACTGGACTTCAGGCATTTTGGCATTCCCCTCTGCCCAGTCTTCCTCCAGACTCTGGCACCTTAATTTCCGAATGACATGCAAAATTTGCTTTCATCCGAAAAAAGTACTTTGGACCACTGAGCAACAGTCCAGTGCTGCTTCTCTGCAGCCCAGGTCAGGTGTTTCTGCTGCTGTTTCTGGTTAAAAAGTGGATTGACCTGGGCAATGCAGCACCTGTAGCCCATTTCCTGCACACGCCTGTACACGGTGGCTCTGGATGTTTCTACTCCAGGCTCAGTCCACTGCTTCCGCAGGTCCCCCAAGGTCTGGAATCGGCCCTTCTCCACAATCTTCCTCAGGGTCCGGTCACCTCTTCTCGTTGTGCAGCGTTTTCTGCCACACTTTTTCCTTCCCACAGACTTCCTACTGAGGTGCCTTGAAACAGCACTCTGGGAACAGCCTATTTGTTCAGAAATTCCTGTGTCTTACCGTCTTGCTTGAGGGTGTCAATGATGGCCTTCTGGACAGCAGTCAGGTCAGCAGTCTTAACCATGATTGCGGTTTTGAGTAATGAACCAAGCTGAGAGCTTTTAAAAGCCTCAGGAATCTTTTGCAGGTGTTCAGAGTTAATTAGTTGATTCAGATGATTAGGTTAATAGCTAATTTAGAGAACATTTTCATGACATGCAAATTTTTTGAGATAAGAATTTTGGGTTTTCGTGAGCTGTATGCCTTAATCATCAATATTGGAAACAATAAAACGCTTGAACTACTTCAGTTGTGTGTAATGAATCTAATATATATGAAAGTCTAATGTTTATCAGTACATTACAGACAATAATTAGCTATCACAATATGCAATTTTTTTTGAAGGACCTGTATATAGGGCTCCTGGTAGTCAGTAGCTACATTTACAAGTGCCAAATTTCCCCAATCAGATTTAATCTTGGTTGATCAGAAATTCCAAATCTCCATTTATATGGACATTATCCGATCATGCTGTGAGTATACAAGCACCAAGAATTCAATCAGGTTAAATATGTTGAGCATGTGCAGAGTTGTCTTTCCTGGAAAAATATAGTAAACAAACACCATGTTGTCAGCACATCTTTCGCCTCACATTTTATTTTCTTATTCTCTAGCTTTGTCTGTGGACTTCCATTTTTTTCCCCATAATGGACCTTCTTAAAATTTTTACCATTATACTTTTGTTTTTATTGATCACTTTTACACACAGAAGAGGGCTGGATAACTTCGGTTCCTCACACCATGTTTCAGACTTGTCCTGAGCATCTGCAAAGGCGGAATGAGCATCGTTTTACTCCTAGAATCCGAATGAGTGTGTATATGGATGTTAATCGGAATGATGACTGGACAAAACCACCTCTCTCAATCAGAATGGAATTTCATTCTGATCGGATCTGAATATTCTGGTTGACATGTTTCCATGTAGAATTTTTGGGACTGTGGACAACCTCCCTGGATGTGGCTGCAGGAGGAAAATTGTTGACATATCAAAGAGATGTATAATCTGAATGCTAACAAAAGATCCCAAAAATACTTCTAAAGTAATCCAAGGTGAGCCACAAGCTCAAGGAACAATGTCCAACTTTCATTGGTAAATTTCATAGAATTTGTATTATTACTTTTGTCAGATTCAAGTATTTCTGTGAGCAGTGTGGGGTTTTCTTTCATTGACCGGAGGGTACCAACAAATTTTTCCTCATCTGTAAATTTATCAAGGTGTTGAAAGTATTCCTCAAAAGGTTCTGGTCCATATTGATATACCATCAAGACATTTTTATCCACACAACTGCTCAATTGATAATTTCTCTAGCAGACATTTATTGTTACCACATAGTTGCGAGTTCAAATCCAAGTAGGTCTGCAGTTTCTGAAATTATTTCTTGTCCAATCTGATGCTCAAATAAAACTTCAGAAAGTCGTCTTCACGATGTCTAGATAGAGCTGCTGCCATATGGTTGGCTGAGTGGACATTGGTAAAGAAGCGGCGTTTGAGGTATTAGGTATACTTACCCAATAGCTTTTTAGCACAAGACACCTGGGAGACCTTCAGGAATCTTAATATCTTTGTTGTTCCAATAAATCCATTATTCTAGAGATATCCAAGGCTTTTCCTAGAATCTGATTGTGCCATTGTCCCTGAAAACTGGTTTGTGGGTGGAATGATTTTGTCACCTGATTGTATGAAATGTTGGTTGGAATCGAAGAACTTAAAAAATGATGCCATGGTGGTTCCCCTCTTATCTTTCTGAGCGCTCCTTTTCTGTGGCCGTCTCCAAGTTTAGGTCCTCCACCACCTCTCTTACCCATGGTGTCCCACAAGGTTCTGTGCGGGGGCCTCTGCTTTTCCTCCTCTATCTGCTTCCTCTTCAACACTTCATGAGCTCCTTCAAGGGAATCTCCTACCATCTTTACGCAGATGACATCCAACTGTTCATCTCCTTTAAGCCCCATGAGATGTCTAAGCTGCAGCTGTTACACATCTGCTTAGACTCTATCAAAGCCTGGATGGCTGGGAGCTTTCTTCAGCTGAATGAAGATAAGACTGAGATCCTCATCTGTGCCCCAGACAAGCTGGTTCCCAAAGTCAGAGACTCTCTTGGTCAGCTTGCTTCCCACACCAAATCTTCCGTCAGGAATCTTGGCGTAACCTTTGACCCAGCTCTCACCCTGGATTCTCATGTCAGTTCTCTTGTTCGCTCTTCCTTCTTCCATCTCAGGGACATTGCTAAGCTGAGTCCCATTCTGTCCCGCTCTGAACTTGAGAGTTCTCCACACCTTCATCTCCTCACGCTTAGACTACTGTAACTCTCTTTTCACGTGTCTGAGCAGAACCTCCCTGAACAGTCTACAGGTGGTTCAGAATGCCTGTGCTCGGCGTCTGACCAAGTCCTCCAAATATACCCACATCGACCCGCTTCTCCTCCAGCTTCACTGGCTGCCTGTCAACTCCAGGGTTCATTTCAAGATCCTGGTTCTGGTCTATAGGGCCCTACATGGACAAGCACCATCTTACATTGGTGATCTTCATTGTCCCTACACCCCCAGCAGGTCCCTGAGGTCCAGTGATCAAAGCCTACTGGTTGTGCAGCACCAGGCTAAAGACCAAAGGTGACAGATCATCTGCTGCTGTGGCCCCGAGACTTTGGAACTCTATTCCCCTGAGCCTGAGATCAGTGGACTCAGTGGTCTCCTTCAAAAAGCAGCTGAAGACTCAATTGTTCAAGCTGGCTTTTGGATGACCTTCTTCACCACTCTCTTTATTCTGCTCTCCCCACCTATTCCACCTTCCTCAGGATCCACTGATTTCCCTCTTTCCTATTCACTCTCTCTCTTTCTTAACATTTTTTATTTTAAATCGCAACAGCTTATTCTTGCGCATTTTAAATATATTTTAAACATTTTCGAAATGCTTTTTATATTTTTACAATTTTTATATTTTTTGTTTTTGTGAAGCGCCTCGTGATTTTGATCTTGAGAGGCGCTATAGAAATGATATTTTCTTCTTCTTCAGATGCTGACAGAATTAACAGGACAATCAGATGAGAAAGTGTTGCTGAGAGAAGATGCCTATGAATGAGGTAAGAGAACTAGAGACTGTTGGGACACTACTTAGACCCAATCCTAGTACTCAAACTGCACCCTGTGGTCTTCAGCAAAGTGCACTTGGAGAATGTGCACAGTAAGGCTTCGAGTGTGCAAATAATTGCCGAACTGAGACAGGGAGCATTGCATAATTGACGGCAATGCATGCCGGGATGCTAGTCACTGTGATATAAAAAAAATTATATATATATATATATATATATATATTAACAACTTTCAAACAACCAAACAATTATTTGAAAGAAATTTATTCATTGCTGTTATGTCTAAAAGTTTCAGAGCATCAATTAATCATCCTCTAATGAACTACTTTCATTAGAAAATACATATTTTCCAGAAAAGGCAGTTTAGCCTTTTCTCCCGCTGCAATGAATTCTGGGTAATACCCTTCGTCTGCATGAATGCGGACTTGGGTGAAGTGCGGATCATGAGTGCAAAAGGGACGTGATCAACTTCCGCACTTGAGAATCGAGACACCCTATGCACTCACACCGCTGGTCGGGATCGCGCAATTGAATGGTGCAAGTGTGGAAGTCTAAAAGCTAATGTAGAGGGGGGATAAACCAGGATAGATCGGAATGACTGCTGAGGAATTGTCACAGCTTTATGTGAAAATCCTCAAGTTTGAACATTATTCAGACTTCCCTGAAGAGGGAATGCTTGAGACTTCCCTTTGCATGGATCAAAAAGTATCTGAGCCATTGCATTTCTTTGCGACATCAGGCTGCATTTTAAACATTTATCAAGATCTTCCCTGCTGGTCTCAGATTTGTCAGGATTTTGCTACTAGACTGACTTCCTTTAAAAGGCTGATTATGCTGGTTAAATAGATGTTTCTTGGAGGGGGACTAGGGTAAGGGGAGTAGGTTTTATTTTTGTTGCCTAAAGGGAATCTAGAAACTTCTGATTAAACTTCAGCATCAACCGAGTAGAAGAGGAGCACTGGGGACCATTCGTGAGCTCCCTTCAAAGCAGTATGTAAATCACAAACGGGGCCTTCAGACTCTAGAAGCTCTAAGAATACTTTGAGAATCTAACATTACGAGCCTTGAAGATTTATTTACTGATTTTAGGATCGAGTGCCTCCAAAACCTTTTAAACCCGAAGTAACTTCTGTTTTAAAAATACCTCAGTAAATTTCCCAAATACAAAGTTTAGATACTAATTTCGAATTTTAACTCAAAGGAAATATTAGATTCCTTCTAATGACAAAAGACAGACATAGTAAATAATGGTTATGATCATTTAATAGAAATAAAATAACCAGTGACAAAAATTTTTAAAGAAATGACAGAAAAGTGGAATCACCATAAATAGCACTAAAAAGCAGGACTTTGTGTATCCATAAAGAATAAATATGAACAGATAGATCCGCCCTCCAAAATAAAAAACAAAAAAAACAAACTGGGACGAGCGCACATGGAGGAAGAGCAAGATGTGCTTTAATTCTTCAGTCCTCAAAATGTTAAAATAGCTTTATAAAAGCTGGAAACCATCAGAGGTTTACCTGAAGATAGCACATAGAATTATAACAGGTGATATCAACCTACTCTACTCAAACAAAGCAGGATCAAATGTCAGCTTGTAAAAAGATTTCACTCAAAGGTAGTAAATGAAAAACAATAAAAAGAGCTCAACAAGAATCAGTTAAATGGAAAAATCTCAACCGCACAAAGATTAGAAAAGGAAACACGATGTTAACTTGTGCTATGGCTAGTGCCAACTCACAAGTCAATCATCCAGCAGAGTCCGAGCTAACAGATGTGACCACAAAACCAAACCGCAGGTTAACAGATGTCAGTTATAACAAAACAAGCCAATAATAGAACGCAACAGAGAATCCTTCACTTATTTTAAATGTAAGGCGACCCATTCAGCAGAGGAACAGCACCATTCCAGTTAGTGTCTGGTAATAAAGGCTTGTTAAACCAGTGCGCGTTAGGAAAGATACACCAGACTACTTTATTAGTTTCAAATCTAACGGAAGGACGTTTATATAGATGCATTGTGACAAACTTCAGCGTTACGCACAATCGTGTATCGTTTCAATTGAAATCTGACTCAACTCAACATTTCTGACACCGCTGATCATCAATTTGCCCATACCAGCCTCTCGTTCTTCTAAATACTGTTCAACGTTTCCTCTGAATAAGGAAACTTTGTTTAGAGCTTCACACACAAGCAGATACAGGTCTGCTATGCGTCACTGACTCAACTATACACAGCACTTTCTGATCAAATCTTTATAATACAAGGTTGATGTTGCTGGCGCCATCATGCACCGATGCTCTAGAAGAGGTGGGTGGTCGACCGACTAAATGTGTGATATTTTTTCTCGAACATAGATGGCAGATGAACCATCGAGGGGGAGTGGTGTGCCTGTAAAACAAAAGAAAAAATAATACTATAAATAGAAATACAAAAAAAGGTATCAACCCTTAAAACATTTAATGTTAATTGCTTGGAAAGATGGCTTGTTAGAAAGTTCTGGCTGCAATCAGACCGAGTGGCAAAGAATGTTAAGTTATTTAAAACAACTTTAAAATATTTTTAATAGAGGTGGAATCTCAGCAGAGTCTTAAATAATATTAGTTCAGTTAGTTGCAGAACGCCTAATAAAGGGATGTAGACTGCTAAGCTAAAGCCGGGTGTACTGTGTGGTTTTTAGCCTACTTTGAGCTGCTTTTCCTCTTGTGCAAGAATCTTTGAGGCGAGTTTGCATTGAGCGTCTTGTAGTATACAGGGTGCCATTAACACCTTACGACCAGTTACAGCAACTGTGCAGTCAAATGAATATCAAACATTTGAGACTTTGCTCGCCCCTCGTAAGAGTGTCGCACTGTTGAAGCAGCGCTACGAACCAAACGTACCAGAACCGCTCACACAGCACACACTTCGACACGGCTGCCCGGTATTTCAGCGTCCACACACGTCACCTCCTTATTTTTACACCTTTCTCCACAGACAACAGAAAGGATCGTTAAGAAAGCATGTGTGCCATGCCTATGTCAACACAGATTCTAAACACTGAGACCCTGTCCACACGTAGCCGGGGATCTGCCAAAACGTAGATATTTTTCTACGTTTTGGCCTGTCATCCACACGAAAACGGAGTTTTTTCCACACGAAAACGAATCTTTTTAAAAACTCCGGCCAAAGTGAAGATCTGCGTTTTCTCCGTTTTGGGTGTCTGCGTGTGGACAGACAAAACCGGAGTTTTAAGGTCCGCAACGTCACTTTCCGCGACAAAAAATGCTGACATCACGTGTGCGACCTGTGTTTACACTAGCCGACAGCAAGGATGCCCTCAGAGCTGTGCTCGCTTTATCAATTGTCCAAGCGCTTTTTGCTTGTTTGTTTTTGCAAGCGGAATTACTGCCCCTTGCGGAAGACCACAGACGAAGGACGAGGTTAAGAATGGGGGAAGTACTGCCACCTACAGGTCTGGCATGTCCTTAACAACGTATTTATCCAGGTACGTGTGGACAGAGTTTGTTTTTTAACGAGGTAGTGTGGATGCAAGTTTTTGGAGGGGCGGATATTCGTTTTTTTAAAAACCCGGCTACGTGTGGACTAGGCCTAAGTTACTTCCTTTCCTTTGTCTTCCTCCTCCAACCCCTCAAACCCCTGTGTCCTCCTAAAACTACGGCAAGCCTGAAGGACAACAGACATCAGCTACAAAGCAACAGTCTCCAGGTTTTCGGACTCAAAGGAATGAGTTTAGGTATATTTTTAGGTCCGATGTTTTGCTACCACACAAATAGATTGAGCAGTCTGACGAGCAGTCCGTGTGAGCACTAAGTCATACAGTGTGAGTTGGAACTAAATGCTAACATTCAAAAAGTCACTGTGTACGCCCAGCTTATGTTATTTACCCAACTTAATGCATGCTGAACTAGAGAAATCCTGCTTTTTCAAGCTTTTACTGCTAAACATCAGTTTAACAAGACATTAAAAGTGGCTTGGCATCTGTTTGACTAGTTTAGTTTAAAAAGGACAGAAAAGCAGAAAGTACAAACACAGGTCAGCCACACCGCTCCACTGGACAAGTCAACATTTAGGAGCATAACATGTAAAGCCGGGCGTACACTGTGCGACCTTTTCACTTTTTTGAGCCGATTTTCCACTCGTGCGAGAATCCACGAGATCGGGGCGAGTTTTGCGCCGAGCGTGGTGTAGTGTACAGGGGGTTACGAGAGGCGATTAACACCACGTGACCAGCTACCGATCAGCAATCGTGAGCTCGCACGGACTTCTGCCGTGTTTAATATTTCGCTCGTCCCTCGTGAGGGTATCGCACTGCTGAAGCGGCACTGCGACCCAAAAAGTATCAGAACCGCTCACGGCGCATGCGCAATCCTGCATCAACACCGCTCGCCCGCTATTTCCCTAATAACACACGTTGTTCGTTTTAATTTCTAAACGTTTTTTTTACTCACAAAGATTGTCAAGAAAGTGTGTTTGTCGTGTTCGTGTCAAATTAAACTGATCACAAAACACAGATTTACTTTCTTTATTTCGTTTTCCTCATCCAACCCCCATAAATCCCTGCGTGTCCTCCTGCAGCACTCCCGAAGGACAACAGGCAAAACAAGACAAAAAAGTCTGACGTGTTGAGTAAAAACTGCTATTTTTAGCATATTTTTAGGGCCGACGTGTTGCTACCAGACGTACAGTGTGAGCAGTCAGGTCGCATCCGAGAACTGGGTCGTGCAGTGTGAGCACATGACTCGTGAGATCTGCCCTGCGAGGAAGTCGTACAGTTTGAGCTGAAGCTGAGTGCTACGAGTGAAAAAGTCACACAGTGTACGTCCAGCTTAAGACTAGTACCATAATCAAGGAATGTGCTTCCTAGGAACGCGTTTCCTCAGAGATATCTCAATAGGTAAATCGAACCAGAGACCCTGCAAAACATCATCTCCAACAACGGCACCCTTCATCATCATCGTTAGTGAATATTATTTGCATATGTGATGTGGCTCTAATGTCAGCTCAGCATTGCACAATATGGGTGATCTGCAGGTGATGATTTCCATAATCGCTCCATAGTGGGACAAATACTTCTAATAACATTCATAGTCTTCTCACTATTTGGTTCAGTAGTACCTGGATATAAAAAGTACTGGCTCCAAAATCTAAATCTCTAAAGGGAAAAACATCATCACTTAACAGAACAAGTTTTCCTTTTAGAAAGCAAAAACTTTCTAGTGTGAGGCCTTCAAATCAAGCCCGTCTTTAACATTTAGCGTCCAAACTGAGGCTATCAGAGGTGAATATTTGTTTTTTCGAGCGGTAATTTCTCTGTACTTTTAATTCGGAACTTGCAGTGAACTCACTGAACGATTAACTTTTAGCACAACTGGAAGCCGTCCTAAATGTTTTCTACGACTCATCCCCTTCTAAAATACTGTACTCCAAACGATTCGACAGTGGCCCCATGACCCATAATTGATTGATTGGCAGAAACTGCTTTTGTAAGATCAATAGCATTTCTTCCTTGGCACAGTTAAACAGTATTCCAGATAAGCATAGTGTCACAGACTTCTGTTTTAATAAGAAACACAAATGGGCCATTCCCATCTGTACCGGGTCGGCCCGGGCCGGGTAGCCCCAGTCGGCCCCAGCCTGGCCCGGTTGATTCCACACATCCTTGCCTTAAGCCCATGTGGGCTGATTCTACCCACCAATCAGAGGCTTGCTCTAATGGAAGGTGTGAGTTTGCTGTCAGCAGTGGGTGTGTTGGCCCTGGTCGGCCTGAAGCAGACCCCCTCGAGAAGAGGGCTGAGAATGAGCCTTGGTTGGCCCGGAAAAATACCAGGCCACCCAGATATGTAAACAACCTACGCTACCCGGCCCGGGCCGACCCGGTACAGATGGGAATGGCCCAAAAATACCTGGTTCCATTTGACCCTGTGATTTATTTTGAAAAGCCAAACAAGTGGAACTCATTTTTTACACTGTGCTTAATTTAAATATCATGACCAAAATTAAAATAGGTTCTCAGAGCAGCCCTGCTTTATCAATATTAGCTTAACTAATAAAGACAAACCACCTTTACCAATACAGAGATTTACCAACTCTCTAGCTTGACTTCAAGAAGGAACATGTGCACTGCATAATCCCTACAGGTGTTTTATTAAAGGTGCGGTTTACCTCGGTCCTTTGTGTTAAAGCGCAAATCATAGAAATGTGCTTTTTTTTTACTGCCAGTGTCACACTGAAGTGGTTTTACAACAAACTGAGAAACCCAAATGTGTTAGGAAGACAAAAGTCATTATTAAAGATTACGGTTGGTCAGATTAAACTTTATTTCTTTAGCACTAGCACTCACCTAGTGAATGTGTCCAGCTGATGGCCTCAACTCCCACCACCAATTAGTAGCCCAGGTACATTAAACTGAACCACTACTCCAAATCAACCCTTAAAATCTCTGCCCTTTCTAGATTGGAGCCAAATGCCAGTAGTCAAAAAGTTATCAGTCCCTTTAAATCCAGCGAAGCTCTAATTTGGAGCTGAGGATATCTTTGTTTGATCCATCTTTGTTGTAGGGTCTTAGCTTCTAAGGAGTTGATTTGGGACTAGAAATGCACCAGTGGTGTTGGGACGTTACAAAACAAACAGCTCAAGGTGAGGTTTACTTTTAGATTAGAAACATCAGTGCACCCTCGACTAGGACAACAAAACAGTTATATTTGCTCACATGAGACTTCAGGACTGAACTCAGCGATGGTTTATATCAAAGTCTCTCTGCGAGGACTGGTTAGGACAGCCTGGCGTGGGTCCAAAGGTACTGTAGGATTCCTGTATGACTCAGAAAATGTTCTGATCTTTACATCAACAGGCTGAAGGCCTGGGGGTCTTGACTGGTGAGCACCAGAGGGCAGAGGTCTGAACACATCATGACTAGACTTTGACTTGGAAATCTGGAGCTGGATGGAACTTTGGACTACACGATCAGATGTGGATGTGGGCCACGTCACAGAGGTGGGTTTCTGAGGACTGGGAGGGTTTACATTAGGCTGGATCGCAATTGGCACGTGAGTGTTGGAATTGGGTGGTTGAACAGTCGAGCAATGATTCAAGTTGAGGAATTTGCTGGATTCTGAGTCAGTCTGGAAGGGGGGGCTGTGGGCGGGGCTTGTGGCTGGTGTACAGGGAGTACATATACACACAGGGACCATGGTTCTGACAGGGGTTTGGTCCAGAGAGTTCGAACGCTGCACCACAGCACTGGATATGGCACAACCGTTCAAAGTGAATGTGGAGGCAGAACGAGACATCTGAAGTACAAGACAGGAGGCAGACACATGGAGCAGATGTGTAAAGATCATTAATAAGACCGGCACAAGGTTGGTAAAAATATCAGTCAGACTTTTGGCTTGCATAGACAAATCACAATTAATTGTACCGTTGACTCTTAATATGTTCATTGTATGTCTAAACACAAGCGTTATAGCTTTCTCAAAACATTTACAGAATATTAAGAAAATAATATTGTGTGTACAATACTATGTACAATATCTAAAATGACACGATCCTGGTAAGCCAGATATTTTTGTGAAGGGAATGAAAAAACTGGTACAAAGTGAGCTGTGGAACTGAAAAACCAGAGCTAACCCAGCACAAACCAGCTGGGCCAGTTGGACGCATGCTGAAAATAATATATATAAATTATCAGTTGCCCGACATTTCTCCGTTTAAAAAAAAAAATCTTTAATTTGATATAATATTCAAATTTTCTGAGATTTTGAAGGTGGGGCCTTCCCAAGTCTAAACGGTCTAAAAGAAGATGCCAAAGCCGTTTCAAATGAGCGGTAGCCATCTTTGTTGTTTCGCCCCGCCACTTCATCCCGCCCACCAGACCAATAGAGAACTGTGATTGGCCCACCACACAAATAGAGCTCTGATATTATTACGCAGAGAACCTCTTACACCAGTGGTGTTGTGTTGTTAAATACATGAGCTTAATTTATGGAGGACCCAGGGAAGTGCGGCAGTTTGTCGAGACGGACAACGGATGGACCAACAGTTGCTTTCAGTCTGAAACGTGTTATTGGTGGAATTTTTAGACAAATGCAGAAAAACCACTTTAATATTTTTTTAAATCTCCACAATATATTTATAGCTATGCTACGTTAGAACGTTGTTAAGATGCATGAAAAATGTTTTAAGCTAACTTGTTTTTCTAATTGTAGCTTTAACGACGGTGTGAATTTTACTCCAGATGTGACGAGACACACACACTCCAAAACGTTCTGCTTTCGTCAGCCCACAGGATGGTTTTAATTTGGTAAACAGCCAACGAGCCTGTGTGTTGCCATTAGTTAGCAGAGATTTGGGCTTTGGAACTCTCCCATGATGCCATTTTTGGACCAAGTCGAGCTGAACTCAGCTGACCAAACCATGTGGTTTATCACAGTTAACAGCGTTGGGCAAGTTACTTCAAAACTGTAATGCATTATTTATTACTTGTTACCTTCATTTTAAAGTAATTCATTACATTACAATAGTACTAATTTTAAAATGTAAGGCATTACACGACTTTTGCATTACTTTAAGTTACTTTCACCAAAACAACTTCAATATGATTCTGGTAATCTGACGCTCAGTGAGCTCATGACATATATGTGGAAGGTGATGTGGTGTCTGAGCTAGGATTGCTGTTAAAAACAGTCAGATATAATAACAGTGCTTTAAAATGATTGTTTATTAAATAAAAGCAACAACAATCTGTACTCTCAGCATGCTGCCATCTTATATTAACTGAGCAGGGAGTGAGGTGGTGGGGGCTCCAAGCATATATTTGCCTTGGTCCCCAAATGCCTTGATACGGCCCTGGATGTGGGACTGACTTCTGGGGTGATCTGATTCTATCACATGTATAAATATTAAATGCTTATATATTATTGCTTTTCACTGGTAAAAATGTGTATTGGGGATAAATCTGCCTACTTTTTTTCTTTTCAAGCACTTTGTTTTGTTTTCTTGATTTTATTTGAATAATTTCCGGCCCTTTCTCTCTCTAACCTTCCTGCATGCTGCATGTTTTCTCCGTCTTCCAGAAAAACTGTTTCCTAGATTTCCTACTTTCTAACTAATCAGCCAAAGGGATCTACCGAACGTAAAAAAATAAATATATTAAAAAAGCTTAACATGCGCTGCGCTCCAGCAGCAATGAGTTGAAATCACCGGGGCACAGATTATGAACTCAGCTGAAAAGTACATGAAGTACCAGAGAATATGGGCTGATATGAACGATCGCAAACTATTTAATTTGTTTTGGTGGAGCGATTTTGTGAATATAACAGCGGCCGCGCGCAGGACGCAGCTGGAGTATTTGAGCCGTTACCGCTGCGTCCTCTCTGCTCATAGAATGCCCGCAAAGCTGAGTCCATAAATGATGTCATATATGTGGATACTGGATCTTTTTTTCCAGGCTTCCCGCAATTTGAATTTTTAGGAAACCCACGTCTTGATTCTGGGTTTAAAAATGCATTGTAATTACCGCGTTACTGACAATTGTACCGAGTAAATATTACCATTTTCTTTCCCTGTAATGCCTTACATTACCACATTACAGCAAAAAGCAGTGCATTACAGTAATTAATTACTTTTGTACCACGTTACTCCCAACATTGACAGTTAATCATAGTATAATAAAGGGACAATTACATTTTTTTATTACATAGGACTTTCTTGTTAGGATAATATTTTCTCTTTAGTAAATAAAACCATCATTTGATAAGTGATTTTAGGATTTACTCGGGTTATCGTTGCCTGACGTTGAGATTTGTTTGCCAATTTGAAACTTCTGTGGCAAGAAGATAAAGCATCAGAAATCTGAAGGGATTATTTTTACAGCTCTGCACAAAAACACAAAAATTCTGCTAAAACCCCGAGAAAAATTATTTAAAAAATTTTCTGCGACAAGCTGATGATTAAGAGCTGGGAAGGATCATTACGTAACTTAAGGTACCAACAAATATAGTTTAATGTGTGTGTGTGTGTGTGGGGGGGGGGGGGGGGGGGGTTGTCTCCTAGATGAAAATCCAACCAAAGTAAAATTGGAGCTGAAGATATTTTGTTCTGATTTTTCTATTTTCTCAGGATATGTAAACATCAAACCACAACTGCATCTTTATATGGCCGAGTGACACGATGAGGCACACAAAATTAAAACCAATATGCAGCCATTTAAATAGCAGCACTACATTATACATAACTATTCCACTTAGAGGCTGATTATTTCCTCTAACTTGTAAAAACTTACGGCCAGCGTGGAGCTGCTGCAGGCACGGTTTTCACAGCTCAGCCTTTTGCTTTTCTCATCTGGAGTGCTGTTGGCCAAAAAGGCTCTCTGGATGACCCGTTTGGGGGTTTTGGAAAAAGAAAATGCCCTGGTCACCTAAAACACACAAGGGAAAAATTAAATACTATTACACATTTGAGTCAGACAAAGCAAATTCTCCATGGAAAGAGTTTGACTTTCATTCACTTCATTTTAAGCCACACTCAGAAACGGCCCGTCGTTGCAGCATCCACACAACCTTTAGTTAATTCATTACCGTTCTACATTATTATAACACCGCAAAATTCATGAGCTGCCGAAGTCAAACACGGCAGTCTAATTTAGAAATACAATGAAGTTAATTATGATTACAAAAGACAAAGAAATACAAACAAAAACATCTGATAATTTATGATTTCATCATTCTATAATGATAATCACTACGTTTACATGCAGCCAATATCCGGGTTATGATGGGGTTAAGGTCGATATTCGGGTTTCTGAGTTGATCAGAATAACCCGTTTACAAGCATAAATAGAAAGAGTTACCTCTAACTTGCATAACCCGATTTAAATGCAGACGTTGGGGTAGCGTCAGGACGTGTGGACTACGTCCAGACGCAATATGCCTCATTTCCGGTTCTTGTTCTGGTATCCGTGAAAACAACAACATGTTTCCCAGTTCGGAAGAGATAGCGACCGTGTTTGTTTGTGCTTTAGTTTCCTCGTCACTCCGAAAGTGTGGTGCTGTGCCGCGACTCGCCATGTTGCTCCCAACTTGTTGTTTACTTCCGGTGTTCTGGCGCATACAAGACGTCTCGCTACTCAAAAGACCAAGATTCCTTGCGAACAGAGCATGCGCAGAACACACGCTTTGATGGGGATATCCCGATATGCGTTTACACGACCAAACATTCGGGTTAGAAAAGGGTTACCCCAGGTGTAGTAACCGGGTTTTAAAAAACCCGGTTATGAGCATATCCGGGTTTTTGGCGGTGTTTACAAGGACCTGCGGAACCGGGTTATTGTGAATATTCGGGTTTTAAAAGGGTTACTGGCCGCATGTAAACGCACTCAATGTTTGCAATGTAACGTGAGGAAATATGAGTTTTCTGTCACAATGGTGGTGTTGGACTCAGCTGGGTCATAGCTGGGTCGCTGAGAACTTTCACCCACAGATTAAGACCTGAACGCCAGCGAGTCTGGGAGGAAACCATAACATCAGCCACCTGCAGTCTACCAGAAGATGTGTTTACATGAGTTGTACCCAGACCAAGTCAAAACATAAAGTTTAAACTTCTTTTTCTTGATTTTAATGTTAAAGTAACCATTATCATTTTGCTCATTATAAATGTGTTTAATCAAATGAATGACTAGTATGCTTTGGGGTAATTATAATGGATTAATGAATCCACACTTAAGTAGATAATGTTGAATGTGTGGTACTGACCTTCACACTCAAGCACACACACCCACACACATCTTGCCCACAGTAAACTCCAGACACATTTGATGACGCACATGTTTTGCTTTGAGAAGAGAAAGGTTTTTGGTAAGTTTTCAGTCTTTTGATTCAGTTCGGGTTGGACAACGAGAGAGAACAGACCTGAAAACCAAAGGGGGGGCAGAGCCTGTTGGCTCGTTCTTCCCCCCTTTCACGCTGTTTCTGCCAAGCCAGGCAGAATAGCTGAATCGCGACTTCTAACGAAGACTCATTACCGAGTCTTTTGATTTCTGAGTGAATTAACTTAAGAAAGCGCATCGATAAAACGCTCTACCATCCACGTGTACCGAGGGCAACTCTGGACCGGTTCCGTTCGACACCTATGTCTCCTGTCAGCCGCCGGTGTCATCTGGATGAACCACAACATCCTCCACGGCCCGGATCCGAAAGAGGGTCCACAAGAGTTCGGTGAGACAGAGCACGGTTTTAGCGTTTGATGCAGTTCTCTGATAAGACCTAAGTTTATCCAAACCATCACTTCACTCAGACACCTGTTTCTTCTTGAAGCAAAATCAGACTCACACACGCATTCATGTCACAACATTCTCAATCTTCATAAATTCACCAGAAGGTCTATTTGAGCAAGAACAGCATATAAACTGTTAAAAGATTGTCCCACAAAGTTGCCAATGTGATTGTTATTTCCTGTTTGTCAATTTTCAAAATCATTAGTTTAATTTGAAGAATTAAAACTTTTAATCCTTCAAACTTGTTTCCTCATTGAACTGAAACACAGACACTCAGATATTATCGGCAGTTTATGGATGAAAACAACCTTTGAGTCTTCTGAACAATATAAAATTTGGTTATTGATTTATTAAAATTAATATTCCGAATTAATACGTAGCATGGTTTCTCTTTCATAAAAGAGCATAAATCCATAACGCTACAGCAATCATCAGTGTGCATACATAATCCCATGATTCTGACAGTTTTGTTTAAACATTAACAAGAGCCTCCTAACAAAGAATATAGATGCATGGATTTGTGTCATATCTATGTTACAGTGGGATGCAAACATTTGAGTAGCCTGGTTCATCTTCATGATTTTCCTGTATAAATAGTTGGCTGCTACGATAAAAAATTTTCTGTTAAATATATCAGAGGAGACAAACACAGTAATGTTTGAGAAGTGAAACAACATCTATAGGATTTACAGAATGTGTGCAATTATTGTTTACACAAAATTAGGCAGGCGCATTCATTTAGGCACTGTTGTCGTTTTATTGATTCCAAAAACTTTTGAACTAATTATTGGAACTAAAATTTGGTGTGGTAAGCCGAGTGATCATGACCATACACAGGTGAATCCAATTATGAGAAAGAGTATTTAAATAGCAAGTCACCTCAAATCAACTTTTATTTGCTGATAAACTGTATAAATGAGTGTCTAATCGTGCTGTAGACATGTTTAGTCACTAAATTGGCACTTTAGTGCATCTTAGTTCAAATTTAAATGTTCTGCCCAAAACTGTCAGTGTTGCACCTTTTTTAGGTAAAACCTCTGCACCACATCTGTATTTAAATCTGCCATTTCTATTGGCCTGATGACATTAGCGAATACCATATGATGTCACAATGCTGCTGTCAGACTGCGCGTGTTTTCTATGGAAAATGGAGGACAGTTACTGTGCCAGCCAATCTCACCATCAATGATGATGATGAACAGGAGGACGATGACATTGAGGCAGATATTCAAATATAAAATATTCTAATGATGTAGATTTGATCAGAAATAGTATCTATTGTTCAATAACCTTTTAAAATATTCAACAGTGATCCGTTTTATAAAAATTAACCATTGTTTAATAATTGTGATATATTCTGTATTATTGAACAGTGATATGTTCTAAAATTATCTAGATTATTCTAAAGCGTCTTATAATTATCTATACTATTAAAAAACAATGTTTATTTAACTTGTTCATTTGTTTTATTTTGGGATTTCTTTTACCATATTTGACCACTTAATTTTCTGATTTTCTGCATGAAAATAAATTAATTTAAAACTAGTCTAAAATGCAGCCAAGTTATCACAATAATCCCAGTAAGACCAGTCAAACCTTTTACTGATAACATGTCGTACTATGTTTGAGCAAAGTTTTTGAGCAGTCATTACCTTGTAATAGATGAGTTTAGTGAGCTTCAGCAGTAACCAAATGCAAACTTTAACAAATAAATTATAAGAGATGCTAATTCACCAATCTACTTAATGAATCAAAACAACACAGATCAAAAGAATCCTGAAATCAACCTAATGAAATTAAGGAAACACCAGCAAAAGCTGGAATACATTTGTATTTATTTATTTTTCTACCTCATTGTGGGTCTAAAAGAAAAAAAATTGGAATTGCAGAGGTCTGTGTATCTATTCCCCACTCTCACAGCCTTAAAACAGAAGATTTTATGTAGTTTGTGTGTGTGTGTGTGTGTGTGTGTGTGTGTGTGGGGGGGGGGGGTGCTTTCCAATAGTGCATTTACTGACAGGTTTAAAGAAAATCTCATCTGTTAATTATTAGTTGAGCCAAAAGATGTTTCATCCCAGCCATCTGCAAGGTAAGCGATCCCTAAGGAAAGCTTGTCAACCTAAAACACAACAGAGTATTGCTGCTGACATAGAGCAGGGACACGCTTTCTGGATAAAGGTGAAATGTTTTCACGACCCCAGAAAAAAGGCCTGTGAGCTAGTAAAAGATGTGGGATTTACGTGGTCTGGGGTACCAAGGGTCCACGAGAACAAATAAAACATGCGAGGTGTGCATGTGGCTTTAAAAGTTTGCAATGCCACATATTTAAGGTTCTGTGCAGATTGAAAAAATAAATAAATAAATTAAGGAGTATCTAAAGGTCTTGTGTTGAAGAGTGTGATTTGAGCAGGGGCGGCGTTAGGCCCGGCTACTTGGGCTGAAGCCCCGGATGTTTCCTGGAAAGCCCCGGATCTAAATCGTGGAAGTAACATGCAGTACCAAAGTCCAACAGAGAGGGCGCAGCTGGCAGTAGTTTGTATACAGCCTGCCTGAGCCTCCACCACTGAAGAAGAAGCCCTTCAGCAGCCGGCTTCTTCTACACTCTCTGCCTGAAACGCATGAGTGAAGATGGACATAAGGACGTTTTTTAGACCAAAAGTCCAACGACAGAACCCCAGCTCTGATGAGACTGGTGCTGACTCAGGTTTGTGAGTCTTATTTGAAAATATTTGTTGTGCTGCTGGTTTGCCTAAAGTTAGCTTACTATCAGGTAAAGTTGTTGGAGAAAGAACGGGAATATTTACTATCATCTCACACTAAACACTAACAGGAACAATACTCTGCCCTGAAAATGCTTAATATGTAGCTTCAGATTAAAAATTATGTGGTAATTATGTGGTACAAGACATATATGATATTTGTAATGAAATTGAAAGAGACCTCAGGAAGAATAGCTCCACACTATGGTGTGAGCTAATGAGGTTCTCAATAAATAAATAACAATAAATAAAATATGATGTTGACTAGTGCGTGTCACGTGTGTGTGTGTGCGCGCGTGCGCGTGTTAAGCCCCGGATGTTCTTCAGTCCTTAATCCGCCCCTGGATTTGAGTAATTGCAACTCTAAATGTTGAGGAGATAATTCAGTCTAGTCTGACAACCTAGCGTCAGATCATCTTGTTTAGGATCAAATTTACAATCAAGTTTCAAAAACTGTGGTCCTGGATTTTGTCCCATCTGATGTCCCCTGAATGAGTGGTTGATTGGACAACATTTTCCCTGCAAACACCTCTTAGACCAGGACCCCACTGAACTCTATCTCTTGGGAGTCATTTTCTGACAGCTCTCATTGATTTTTGCCTTCAGTTCCCTCTGAAAAGTTTTCTGTTTGACCTTCAAATATTTTCTCTCTTAGGGAATCCCAAACTCTACGGTACGCTGGATAGCACTCATGGATGCAGGAACTACATCCTCCAAACGTGAGACGAGACGCTGCTCCATTTTGCTGCGATTTGAAGTCATTATCAGGAAACAAACAGCAACATCGTTTCAGACTCAATCATAAATTTGAGCCCAAGCTCAAAGGGTGAAGAGCTGAACATTTCAGGAAATGGTTAGAATGTGTGTGTGCTCTTAAAACAGGAGAGGAGTTTTGGAACTAGCTGGTGTTACATTCGGCCCAGTGTCTGGTCCACCCAATAGATGATGCAATTACATTTGCACAGACCTATTACCTTTTTAGAGGTCTTCTTGATCACTCTGGATGCTTTGCTCAGCGTGCTGTCCATATCCTTCGTGCTGACCTGCAGTGAGTCTGGGTCTGTGCACTGAATGAGATCCTCCTGGTTACAAGGATCACAAAAAGTAACACACTTCCAAAGTTAATACAACACATCTAAAGCTGAAGGGTGGGATTGGTGCAGATAAAGACGAAGCTCTTTTTGAGGAAAAAAAAAATGCTACTATTTGAAGCATGTAAGAAAATTCAGATACAGTTTTAAATTCGTCTCTGCCCCTCGTCTAGTGGAGGGTTTTTAGCAAGCACGGCTCCATCTCGTTGGTATTCACACCGCAGCACCGCCTCGGTGAAAACGAATTAGACATGCAGCTGTGCAGCAGCAGGCAGACTAGAGAACAGCATCGCCCCCTGCTGCTTCTTCTGATAACTACAGCTGCCTTTGCATTACATGTAATGCATGTGATCGACACAGCACCAATGTGTTATCCCCAAGCACATGTGGCTAATATTTACACCTCCTGTTTATCAACAGCAAAAAAAAAACTTGCTATTCTTCATTTTTGTAAACCACAGGGTATCTGCAGGTTTAAAGTAGCCAAATTTAAGACTTTTTAAGACATTTTTTAAGGCCACTTTGACCAAATTTAAGCAATTTTTTTAAATTAAATTTAAGCTATAATTTCCAGCTATTGCCTGAAACCGGTGCTAACCATGTCGCGAACATGGGATTAGCCATCCAGTTACCATTAAACTTGCACTTCCCCATGATGCAAGCTCCCACTAGCTTAACCAGCTAATGTGTTCATCTAAAAATAGCCCCCGTTCACAACCAACTGAATGTATACAGTTCCGCTTACGCAAATATGATACCCATTAAATGCTGAACACTAACCAGAAATTCAAAATGTTTTTATAGAAATAAAGATATCTTGTTTATTGGGTCTTTGGTAATTTAAGACCTTTGGGAACTGTATTTAAGGATTATTTGTCATTTTTAAGGATTTTTAAGGCCTTAAATTTGGAAAAGCAAATTTAAGGCTTTTTAAGGACCCGCGATACCCTGAAACCAAAATTAAGAAAAAGCGTCCATTTAGTGACGACGGAACATCCTGTAAATTAAATAAATAATATTAAGAAAAACTAAATACATTTTAAATTATTATTTAGCCTCATCTATGCCAAAAACATATATTCGTTTATTCTGTTGCTTTTGTGGAGTCCGATTCCAGCGGCTGGGTCACAGCTGAGTCTGCAGGCTGCTCAGTTCAGGTTGTCGTCCTGCAGGGTGGCGAAATGCTGATCATGAGTTTGATGCATTTAGATAAACCAGAACACAAAATAATCTGGTAAATGTTTGCATTCGCACTAAAACGGTGTTGTGCACATACATTCGGAGACGTTTCTTCGAGTAACCGGTTGATCGTCATTTTTGACGCATTTCTTACCCTACAAATCCAGTAGTCTGGACTGATATAGCAAATTTGGTCTTGTCACCTGCCACCTGTTGTGTCTTTACAACATGAACTATGGACAGTGCAAATAATGATGTTAAAAATTAACGATTTCAACGCTGACCATAATAAATACAATCCCCAGTCCAGCAGCCCTATTGGCTCTGAAGCTGACATTTTCCATCTCCACTTGAATGTTTACAAGGATTTATCTAATTTGAGCAATGAGAGAACACAAACTTGTGTCAGACCATTTATGATTACATCTAAAAGGTTTTCTACTCTTCTGATGTAGGAAACAGAAGTGTGGCGCAATTCATCTGTTTTTGGACAGAAAATGATCACATTTTGTAAAAATTCTTGCCGTCAAAGACGGAGTAACGTTATTCCTTTTCATTCGTGTGTCAGACTTTGCACCCCGACCCCCCTCGTGTGTGTGTGTGTGACTTCTCACCGCATCAGCCCTGCAGATGGTGTTGGCAACATGACGACAAAGTGTACGCAGCCAGGCGTTTTTAACCGTTTCCTCTCCAACCAGCTGGAAGCTGAACAACAAGTTCTCCTGTTCAGTCGGAGGGCGAACCACCAAGGCGAATGCGTTCGCACACTCTGAGGAGCAGAAGCAAACGAGAGTGAGAGGAAGACTGGGACAGAAGGCTGTGCAGACTAAGAGTGGCTAAAATAAGCAAAGGAAAGGGAGAGAAGACAAAACATCGTTAAAAAAAAAGAACTGATGCAAAGATCAGGCCTTATAAAAGACATAATTACTGTTAGAAAAAAATCTTCTTATTCCCACGTTTTCTATCCCAAAAGTTCTAATCGGATCCATTTTTGCTTCATTTCAGTGAAAATATTCAATTCTACTTTTAAAGTCTGAGCAAACGAAAATACAAATAAATATGAAGAATAACTTTTAATAAGGTTTTTTTTTTTTCTTCTACCTGGTTTTGGAAAATGTTTCTTCACCCGAGTCGTTTCCTGCTCTTTTGCTTGTTTGGACAAAATCATCGGGGGTTTCCGTATATTACAATACCTGCGAGTAACCTTGGACTCCTAAAGCATTTTATTTCAATAATGTCAAACAAAAATATCTTATTTTTCATTCTAATTGCCATCTTGTATTTCTCTAGTTGAATAAGAACTTCAGTAAATAAGACAACATTTCCAATCCCAATTTTAACTAAATTATTTGACTCTGGAGACTAATGGGCTCGACACACGGGAGGCGACATCGCCTCTCCTCCATTCATTTTCAAAGAGACGTGCGCGACAAAGCGATAATCGCGGGTCTCCCTCCTACCAAGCGAAACGTGAAAAACGTGCGTGTGAAATTTTGCGCTCGTGCACGTGTCGTGCACAGGCGACCCAGCGACGCGATCCCAGAAAGTTGAAACATTTTCAACTTTTCATCGCTGTCGCTCGGACGACGACCAATCAACGGAGGTTTCATTCACTGACCAATGAATGAGCGGACAGGATGCTCCGTACACCTCCGAGCAAACATGGAGGAAAAGTTGATTATTGTTATGTTTTATATAGTAAAATCAGAAGATTTCACATAACTCTAGCAGCACCTTGTGAAACATCATATCTACCGCTTTTTTAACTCTGAACCGCTTAAATAACCTCAATTCCCTCCAACCTGACACAGCCAAACAAACCAACAGAAGTTTCGATTTCGCCATGGAACAGAACGCGTCGACGGCTTTGCAGCTGCCGCGGGTCGCCTCCCGTGTGTCAGGTAATAAAAGCGACAGCGACAAATTTCGCTGATCGCGGTCGTTTGTCGCCTCCCGTGTGTCGAGCCCATAATCCAGCAGTAAATATTCCCAGTCCCCACTGTCATATTCAATTTTCACAAAAATCATTGAAAATATCAACGTTGTAAATAATGACGGCTTGGGAAAATAAGCTAGTTTTAAATTTGTGATGTTATTTCTGGATCAGCTACTTGACGAAAAGCTACAAATGTCACTTTTAGATTTTTGAGTTGTTACCATCCGTGTCCTTCAGGTCCAGTACCCTCCGGATCTGAGACAGAGGCATCAGAGCGATGTGCTTCAGTGGGGGAGGAGGCCTCGTCTGTCCCAGAGGACTCTTAAACGTATTGATCACCTTGTGTCGCTTCCTTGCAATCTGCAGAGATGCACAAATAAACAGAGGCAGTAAATTTAAATCTGGGTGCAAGCAGAGTGAGCTGGCTAAAGTTGGGTGTATGAGGTTGTGTGTGTGGGCAAAGGTGCAATTGGTTACTTGGCAATAAATCAATGATGCTCTCATTGAGGTAAACAGTGCAACTCATTAATGTCACATTAATTAGGAGCCGAGGACAAAAAAGATGGACGACAGAGAGGGAAGGAGACATTGCAAAGGACAAAATAAAACACTGGATTATAGGTTCAAATGTAACGAATGGTTCCTGATGATTGAGGACTACAGCAGAACCTCCCATTCTAAAACAACTATGTACATACAAAACACTGTCAGGGTGTGTGTGTGTGTGCTAAACACACACAAGCTGACTAGAAGAAGGTGTCACTGACACTCCTGAATCAGCACAGCCTCTCATCTAGTCTCCTTCACCACTTGCCACATGCTTCTGCTGACCCCGCTCTAATTAACACACACTTCCTGTGACTAGTGACGAGCCTGACTCAGGGACTCATACCAAGAAGTGTGCATCAAAACGTATAAATAATAATAATAATAAAAGCAAAGCAGCCCAGTCTTTTTCCTGGCGAAACTGTAGCTACAAAACAGGTAAACAAAACTGTTTGTGTTTAAAAAGAACAAAAGCATGGAATTAGAACCACGACACAGCAAGAACACACCTAAGAAGTCCAGTCTTTGTACCCGAGTATTGTCAGATTTAGTTTGGATCTGTGAATCCTTCAGAAAACTGCATCTATGCAGACACATTATCAAAAACACTTCAAGAATTACAGTTTTACAGACTTTATTTCTATCAGCTAGTTGGAAGGATACATTACATTTGGACTTGGTGCCTTTCTTCCTCCACTTGGCCAGTTACTCTAAAGCGTTACGGACATTTCCCTCCATGATGAGGCCGACACAAGTTACAGAGACTTCCTTTACAAAGAAAGGAGGCCGTTCTTTACACTACTACGTCAGGTTTTAGGAAACACAATATAAAAAAAACGAATTAAGACAATTGCATTGAAAAGATGCCTTCCCGTACACCTGATCAAACAGATTAGCGCAGAGACGAAATGTGGCGGTGAGCTGAGGCACAGATGCGCTGTGGGAAAATTACACACTCAACACTAAACCAGGGCAGCAGGAATTGGTCGGTGTAAAACAAACACAAGCATCGGTGCAATGGAAAATGGATGAGTAAGACAAAAGATGTTAGAAAATGAAAACAGACGGTCTGAAAACACTTCAGTGTCCCAAGCAGAGCTTCTTTCTACAGCAGCACCACAGCAATGCACACGCATCTAAAACACAATCACCCTGCTGCTGTGGTCCAGACTCACTAGATATAAGGCTTAGTGAGTGAAGTTAGAGCGACACATTTTAATAATGCTGATATTAGGCCTAGGTCTCATGGTAAGGTAGACATCTTTTGCTATTGTGTTGTGAAGTTATAATAAATAGGAGTCCCTATGCAGTTTGTGTATGTCTGTTATTAGAGTAAATTGATAGTAAACCTTCTCCAACTAGTTTTAAATTGTTTAGTTTCACTGGACATTAAAAGTATATTAATGCAGAGACTCAGGGTGATATTCACAGGTGGATACACGTAGGGATGGGTACCGAATTCTGTACTTTTTAAGGTACCGACCGAATTCCACAGTACTGACCGAGCACCGATTCACTTCATTTGAAACGGTGCCTCGTTTCGGTACCCGTCCTTGATAACGAGAACTTGCCTAGACAGCTGTGCATGCGCAAGAGCGTTATGTCTTCGGTCGCTGCGAGCCAGTTGTAAACAGAGCAGCATGGTAGAAAGAACGCACGCTAAAGCTTGGGTCCACTTCACTAAATGTGATGGGTAACTGGGTGATGATGAAACCAGCGACAACGATCTAAGTGAGACATCCTCATCTTAATCTGCTTCAGTAGGTAAATAAAATGTTTAAGATAACATTAGCTTGATTTGTTAGCTTCCGTTCCGCTAATGGTGCGTTCGCTTTCTCCTCGGAACTCCGAAATTCCGACTAGAAGAACATGAACGCGCTCTAAAGTTTGGCTTCACTTTACTACATGCGACGGGTGAAGATGAAACCAGCGACAACGATCTAAGTGTGAGGCATCATCGTTTTAATCTGCTCCAGCAGTCAAATAAACTGTTTAAGATAAGGTTAGCTTGGTATGTTAGCTTCCATTGCCACCATTGTTATCAGCTAATGGTGCGTTCGCTTTCTCCTCGGAAATTCTAACTTCCCAGTAGGAAAAATCGAATGAAAAAGGACGGTATAAGAAATGAAGATACACAGTAAATTTAGTTCACAGTAAAGATGTTTGCTTCAGTTTAATTATCAGCTTATAAAACTACAAGGACGATGTTAAAATACAAACAGTTGTATGTTATTTATCGTGATATTTATCAATTATGGTTAAATATTAAGGAATATATATATTTAATTAAAAAAGATAATTAAAATATTAAACACTCAAAAGTATCAAAAATTGGTACCGTTAAGTACCGGTATCGATTCCTAGGTACCGGGAATTAGTACCGGATCGATTCAAATGTCAAAGGTACCCATCCCTAGACACACGTGAGCAGGGGATGTAAGACCTGGCCTGGAGCCCACAGCAGGTAGGAGGTAGACTTACAGGAAGCAGGTATTGATTGAAATAATTGATTACTCAGAAATGATCATTGATCGACTATTAAAATAGTCATCAGTTACAGCCCTACTCTAAACACCTATAGCACAGCAACTTTGAAGATTTGGAAAAACTACTTTCAATCAGGGCAGCATCAAGGGGAACCACGTGAAAATACATGTTGACCCAAATAATCGGTAAGCCTCATCAGGACAGGGAGGAGGTGAACTAGCATTAGCTTCACTCTCAGCTGACCCTTCCACATGAAAACACAACATCAGAGAAGAGAGGTGACTTTAGAAAAGACGTTGTGGCAGGAATTGTCCAATTTGAGATATTAACGTATGACCTTGGTCAAAAGTAGCACTGTTTTACTGTGTTGCAGGATGTAGGGTTGTCATGATGCTAAATTTTCAAACTCGATTCGATACTGGTAAAAAAAAAAAAAAAAAAAAAAAACTCGATACTCGATTTCGATACTATTTAAAAACACCAATTTATTGAACAAGTTTATTCAAAAAAATAACATTCCTCAATTTATATTGCAAAAATTAAATGTTAAGAATTAAGTGTGTAAAGTGCTTAAACCTTTCAAGTATCGGCATTTTTTAAAACGTGCATACAAAAACTGGTGAAAGTTAACACTTCAAATCATGATTTGTCCCACTATATATACACTATTTGCAGAGTGATGTTTTGCTGCTTAAACTCTGTTTAAGGTGCATTTTTGTCATAAGATGTAATGCCATATGTTTTGTTCTGTACTTTTGAACAACTCTGTTGGTCAATAAAGGGAGAAAACTAATTTCTCCTCAGTAGGACAAAGGTACATCTACCGGTAATCTTAATAAAAACAGACTGGCACACGGCAGTGACGTCATTAAAAGCGCCGGTTAGATTAGCCGCGGCTAGTCTGTTCACGCCTAGAAATCCCAGACTCGCTCCAAACGAACAGCGGAATCACGTTAATGATTCCTAACAAAACCTTTCGACATTGAGATGTTTTGGTGCAGATAATGTCTTATTTCGAGGCTGCACCATGGGTGCCCGTCCGCACCCGTTATATGGATATACACTGACGGCGATTCGCCGATGGATCTAAATAGTCGGGGAATCCAAGTAGCACCAAAGTTGTCAGCGTGAGTAAACAAACGTACTGCATGCTAGAAATTAAGTCCGGGTTGCAATAAACGGGAGTTTCCTTTAAGCACATAAGCGTGAATATACAACTACGTGTCGGACTTGGTACGCTAATTAAGTTGGGCTGTGAAGCGTCTCCCAAATTCGCTGTTTATGTTTTTGTTTATTTATTTGGCAGACAAAACTTGGATCGGAGACAACTCGCGTGGGAAATTGCAATGTAGCCATGCAGCGTCTTCTTCTGTTTGTCTGGGAGGCGGAGGCTGCTTTACGGCATCTGGCTGTCGTGCGTGTCGGTGTACTTGAAGAAGGCTGTGTATAATAGTCCATAATATCGACTCCACAGGGATGGAATATCTAATTTAGATACCACTTTTAGTATCGATTTATATCTAGGTATCGATTTTTTTGACAACACTAGCAGGATGACAATGTTTGATAACGTGTTGTTTTTAAATTTCTACACAAAATACAATTTTTCCATTGAACAGTGATTTTTACACAAGAAATAGACTATACCATCTGCTGTATTATCATACTAACTTTATGGAAAAGATAAATGCTAATATGATGCTGTTTTTTTTTTGTCATTTCATAATTACATTTTTGCATAAAAAGAAAGTGAGAGTGACTAACCAACTCAGCGGTTTGCTTACACAGACAATCACACAATACCAGGATCACTGAGTTACCGAAGGGAAGAAAACCCGAATTGTTCTGCTCATCTCCTCTGTGAAGCAGTCTCTTGAGGTTCATTTGTTGACGTTAGCGACTAAATTAGTCAAGTCATCAGCAAGCGAGCCTTTTGTTGTGCTCTGGTGATTGACACTAATTCTCCGTCTCTGTCCTGCACTTTAAAGACCGAAGACACGGAACAGCAGAGTTTCTGGTGCTGCCAGCTTTCGGACAGCGCTGAAGAGGATTTTAAACCGTTGGAACGGTTAGTGGGTTTAACAGACCTTTCAAAACTGTGGTATACACTGGCCATTGACTTTTAATCGGAGCTCTTATTTTATATAAATAAAATAAATAAACAGATTTTTGTTTATCCTTACATGAAACGCTTTAATAAAGCACTATTAGGGTGTGTGCAGCCTTTAACATTATTTCCTGCGTTTTTGTTGAAATTCTGCAACATTCATGAAATGTTACACTGAACATTGATATTTAAACAAGACCATACAATCCACTGTTTTGTATGATTATACTGATTCTATGGAAAAGATAAATGGTTGAAATTAACATGGGCATGATAAGATTTTAGGTTAGTTAGTGTTGGTGTGTCTAAAGAGGCATCGTGATGAGATCAGCGAACCAAGCATGCTCACTGTGAGCCAACAGGAAAAAGGCACTTGTGTTTTCCCCAAGGATACCCCGCAAGAGGGTATTTTTTATGAAGTACTCAAGAATTCATATAAATTCAGGATTTTTATGTATGTATGTAGCTATTTTTATTGCAACGTCAGCATTGAAGAATAATCGTTTTTTTCTTTGCATTTGATGGTACGGAGTTTACCTTTCAATTTAACAAGACAAAGCAGGTTATGCCCAAGTGTCCAGCATGCAGTCAGAAGTTTATGTGTTTTACCTCGAGGCAGTCATTAAAGAGGAAGAGTGTGACGTGTTCTCCACGGTCACAGGGATCGTCTCCAAGTGCGATCGTTTCAACTCTGTAAACCAGGCTTCGATGGGAGGACAGCAAATTGGCCTGAAAAAAGGGCAAAACTATAAAGCATGGAAAGGATAGAAGCCCCTCATGGTGAGGTCACATTACGGACTCCTTACATCCTAGAAATGATGTGGGTTCTGGAAGAATGTACAGTTAAGGTCAATACATTCTCTGAGGTTTCTTTATCATAATACTAAAACAGTATCTAGCTTTAAGTTTTAAAATAAGATGCAATCTCATGAAAATAAACAGTACCCGCCTCTCATGAGTTTACAGGTGCTGGTCATAAAATTAGAACATCATGCAGGGTATCTGCAGGTTTAAGGGAGCCAAATTTAACCCCCAGAGACCCAAATTTAGAAAACAACTGCAAAATCTTTTTTTAACCTTTCACATGTTGTTCTAGGAGGCCAGATAAACGGGCCTATTTACACATTTTAACAGCCAATAGTGTTGCAGAACTGAACAAAAGGACCTATTATTAGCAATGTAAATGTGGTTTTAAAAATAAAAAAAAGGGGAAGGTTTATTTTTGTAGACTTAAATCTGATGTTGTAATATTACCACCGTGGGTCTCTGGGGGTTAAGACTTTTTAAGACCTTTTTTAAGGCCACTTTGACCAAATTTAAGCTATTTTTTAAAAATTAAATTGAAGCTATAATTTCCAGCTATTGCCCGGAACCGGTGCTAACCACGTCGCGAACGTGGGATTAGCCATCCAGTTACCATTAAACTTGCACTTCCCCATGGCGCAAACTCCCACTAGCATAACCAGCTAATGTGCTCATCTAAAAATAGCCCCCTTTCACAACCAACCGAACGTGTACGGTTCCGCTTACGCCAACATCGTACACACAAAAAATGCTGAACACCAACTAGAAATTCACAAAAATTTGACAAAAATAAAAGAATCTTGTTTATTGGGTCTTTGGTAATTTAAGACCTTTGGAAACTCTAAGGATTATTTGTAATTTTTAAAGGATTTTTAAGGCCTTAAATTTGGAAAAGCAAATTTAAGACTTTTTAAGGACCCGCAGATACCCTGTCATGACAAATTTGATTTATTTCAGTAATTACATTCAAAATGTGAAACTTGTATGTTAGGTTCACTCATTACACACAGATGGGTATATTTGCAATTTTTTTTTAATTTTATTTTAATGATTATAACTGAGAACTAATGAAAATCTCAAATTCAGTATCTCAGAATATCAAAGAAGACCAATAAAAAAAATAAGTAAAAATGTGGGGGAGATTCACAGGAGTGGACTGCAGCTAGAGTCTGCTATAAAAACCACCACACATAGATGTATGCAAGACAGGTTGCAGCTCTCACATTCCTTGTGTCAAGCAACTCTTGAACAAGAGACCGCATCAGAAGCGTCTTGCCTGGGCTAAAGACTGGATTGCTGCTGGGTGATCTAGTTATGTTCTCTGATGAAAGTAAATTTTGCTCTTTTTGTGTGTAAATCAAGGTCCCAAAGTCTGGAGGAAGAGAGGAGAGGAACAGAATTCATGTTGCTGGGGGTCCAGTGTAAAGTTTCTACAGTCAGTGATGGTTTGGGGTGCCATGTCATCTGCTGGTGTTGGTCCATTGTGTTTTCTGAGGTCCAAGGTCAACGGGGCCATCTACCAGACAGCTTTAGAGCACTTCATGCTTCCTGCTACTGACCAACTTCATGGAGATGCAGATTTCATTTTCCAACAGGAAAAGGTTTTTCAAAGCTTCCAGTACCTGGTTGAAGGACCATGGTGTCCCTGTTCTTGATTGGCCAGCAAACCCACCTGACCTTATCCACATAGAAAATCTATGAGGTATTGTGAAGAGGAAGATGCAATACACTAGACCCAACAATTCAGAAGAGCTGAAGGCCACTATCAGAGCAACATGGGGTCTCTTAACGCCTGAGCAGTGCTAGTCTGATGACTCCATGCCATGCTGTATTTCTGCAGTAATCCAGGCCAAAGGAGCCCCAACTAAATATTATTGAGCGCTGTTCATGTTCATACTTTTCAGATGTCCAACATTTCTGAAATCCCCCCCCCCCCCCCCCCATTGGTCTTATTGATATTCTAATATTCTGAGAAATAAAGAGATTTTCATTTGTTATAATCATCAAAATTAAAGAAATAAACATTTGAAATGAATCAGTCTGTGTGTAATGAACGAACCTTACATACAAGTTTCACTTTTTTAATTAAATTACTGAAATGAATCTACTTTTTCATAATATTCTAATGTCATGACCAGCACCAGTTGTTTTTCATAAATGGAGCCAATGTGGAGAGTCTTTGTGTGAAAAGCTTTTCTATAAATCAAGAATAGAACTGGTAGCCATGTATTGACGAATTAATGAAATAATCAGAAAAAAAAAAACTACGGTTGCTGCATATCAGTCTGGGAGGACACAAAAGAGGTACATGGCTGCAGGTCTCTGTAGTAAAAGTGAAAACTTAAAAGCAGTAGTACAGGGTATCTGCAGGTTTAAGGGAGCCAGATTTAAGACCTTTTAAGACCTTTTTTAAGGCCACTTTGACCAAATTTAAGCTTGTCGTCGTCTTTCTCCGCTTATCCGGGTCCAGGTCGCGGGGGCAGCATCCCAACTAGGGAGCACCAGACCATCCTCTCCCCAGCCGCCTCCACCAGCTCCTCCGGCAGGACCCCAAGGCGTTCCCGGACCAGATTGGAGATGTAACCTCTCCAACGTGTCCTGGGTCGACCCGGGGGCCTCCTGCCGGCAGGACATGCTCTAAACACCTTCCCAGGGAGGCGTCCAGGAGGCATCCTGACCAGATGCCCAAACCACCTCAACTGGCTCCTATCGATCCAGATCAAAATTTAAGCTATTTTTTAAATTAATTTTAAGCTATAATTTCCAGCTGTTGCCTGGAACCGGTGCTAACCACGTCGCGAACGTGGGATTAGCCATCCAGTTACCATTAAACTTGCACTTCTCCATGGCGCAAGCACCCACTAGCTTAACCAGCTAACGTGCTCATCTAAAAATAGCCCCCTTTCACAACCAACTGAATGTGTACGGTTCCGCTTACGCCAACATCATACACAAAAAATGCTGAAATTCACGAAAATGTCATAGAAATAAAATAATCTAGTTTATTGGGTCTTTGGTAATTTAAGACCTTTGGAAACTGTATTTAAGGATTATTTGTCATTTCTAAGGATTTTCAAGGCCTTAAATTTGGAAAAGTAAATTTAAGACTTTTTAAGGACCCACGGATACCCTGTAGTATGACCTGCTTCAGTGGGTTTTCTCTCAAAAACAAGCATGACAGCACAGCCTGGGTTTATAAAGATTTGGCTGAACAATCAGTAAAATTTGTGGTAGAATGTCCACAAATGAAAGATGGCACCAAATGGTGCACAACACCACTTTCAGAGAAACAAACACAGAATTACTAGGGAGGACGAGTGGGCGAGAAATTCCTCCGTGATCCTGAGAGAGACCGATAAGGTCTTACAATGTTTGTCTAAAGGTGGTTCTTCAAGCTGTTCAAACTCAGGATTGAACGTTGTTTTCCCACAAACAGTTTCTATATTCTGGCAATTGTTTTATTAAATGCATAATTAACCGCTGTGATGAAAAAATGATAAGGCCATACACTAAGAAAAGCATAAACATGCACAAGGCAGACATTCTCACACTTACAGGACAACCATCAACTTCATAAACCACATCAAATATCTGCTTTTGGCCTTCAGTCTTCCTTTTGTCTTCGTTGATGTGACTAAAGGGGAAGAACAGTGGATCATCGTTAGTGAAAAAAGGTACCGTCCATTTCAGCTTTATCAAATATTATCCTTTTCGGATTAATGTGGGTTAACAGAATGGACGATATGGCCTAAAATCTGTATCACCATGTATTTTGAAGCATGTGTGGAAACAATATACATCATGAAATATTATTTTTCTTCCGTTTATACCTGTGAAAATAACCTTTGAACATTCTTGCACAGATAAAGTGCAGCAGAACAAATACTACTAATATTATAGATGACCTTTTAAAGAACATTTAACATTCAAAACATATTTTTAAAAATTCTAAACCTTTCATGTCATGTTATGTTTGTTTTTCCAATTAATGGAACACACAAAGATCTCAAATTAATAACAACAAAGACACTTTAGGTAAAATACAAGCCAAATGTGATTAAAACACAAAATTCAAGATAGCTGAACTGAAGTAAAAAAAAAAATATATGAAAACAGAAATAAAATTTCTTCCTGCTTTTCTGGTTAATTTAAAAAATGTTTATGTTATTTTGCTCATAGAATTTAAGTGTTCACTAGTGAATAACTGTGGCTAAAACTGTGCTTTGCTGCATTTCATGTCGACAATATTAACTCATTCACTGCCATTGACGACTCAAGTCGTCATTTGCATTTTTTTACTGTTTGAGCATCGGAACGAGCCCCCGCGCTGAGAGAACAAACATCTCAGCCCTGAAGCCGATCTTCATCCGCATACGTCACAGATCACATGATCAGGAAGCAACACATCCACGTGTTAGGAGATCTTTTGGGCCGTTCCTGTAAAAAAAAATGAGGCGCGAACCGGAAAAGCGTCTGCCGATCACAATTCGACAACAGATTACGAAAGAACGGTTAACGCTCGAAACACGCCGCTTCTTCCTGATGTACGAGGTGAGTCTCCTCTTTGTTTTGGTTATTTTGGCATCGACATCATGCTAGCGCGCAACGTTCTGTGACTCTTAAAAAAAACGGTAAAAACAGTGAGAAACGCTGGCAGCGAAGGCCGTTAGTGATCAGGAAACGGCTGGCAGTGAATGAGTTAAGATAAATAGGATGAAACTCCAACCTTTTCTCTTTTTAGCCGTTCTGTATTAATAAATGGGAGAAACAGCTGAAACCAAGGCAACAGATGGAAAATTGTTCCAACTAAACCAAGGGAGATGTCCAAAACGTTTGGACGCCTGTGTGTTCATCATGTGTTATAAAAACAAACAGCATTTGAAAGGAATTTGTGTTGACGAGCTATTCACGTAGACTGGACTTTACTGTCACGCAGCATATTTAACCGAGGGTGTTTTTCTGCTCGGCATCCAACTCCTTCAACCCAAACCAGATCAGATCATAACCAACGTTGCCTTTTCTTCTTTACGAGGACTCTTCCATCGACCCGCTGCACTCAGCTGCAGGGTCGATGCGGCTCGACGACATTCATGCACAGTGGCGGTTGGCTGATAAGACTCAAAATCTCTACAGGTTGATAAAATTGTATCACATCAACTTTATACCATTTACATCGTGCATTACTAGTTCACATATGAACTTAGATTTAGATTTAAATATAAATAATGAACACTCTAAATGTGAAACTACAACAAAAAACTAAAACTGTTGGGTTGAAGTGAACTTACGTCATCACTTCTTTCAAAGCCTCTATTGCTTCCTCCAGTGTTATCTTGTCTGGGTTGTCATCTGGCGTGTGTTTCTTTATATCTGGACTCCAGATAAGAGGAAGAGGACATTTGGTTGGACAGTCGCCGATGAAAACCACAATGGCAAAAGAATAGAAAGGAAGGGACTTCAGACAGGAACGACTCATCAAGAGATAACAGAGATAGCTAGCAGGTGTGGAGGGAAAGGGAAGGAAAAAAATACAAGACAAGACAAACAAGAAGGGTGTCTAAACATATGCCTGAGTGTCTCTGTGTGTGTATTACCGCTGAGGAGGAGGGCCACACTTGGCAGTCTCTGCACTGGTCTGATGAGTAACTCCACGAGCGTCTGCCGGCCACACTCAGGTTTGGCCTGGTTGATCTGTTTGTGTAAACATAAGTCACAAAGTAAATCAGGAAACAAGAAGTATCTGAACGGTGTGTGTACTAGGGGTTGTATGAACTAGTCGACTAGTCGACTTCACGGCTCTGTAGTGACTTTTTATGCCTGTCATCGACTAGTCGCCGTCACGTGATAATGACCGACACGATAAAGTCCTCGAAAAAGACAGCAGGTGACGAGCCCCTGCGCGTCGGGAGGCGGAGGCGACATGCTGCGCCAGAGCGTCGGTACTGACACCGGCGGTAAAAACGGACATTTAACTAAACTGTGACCTTTTACCTCTTGCAATTTAACCTTCCCCTCACCCCCATCCTAACCTTAACCAGCTTGCGCATGCAAAGCTCTGATTGTTGACGCGCTCCAGACATCTGCGTCCTGAGCACGGCCACAGTAACATTATCAAATCAGGTGTCGCCACCTCAAAAACAAATTCAACATGCGATCGTTCATGTCGGCTCATTTCCTTTTATGTTTTATGTCTTTTATTCGTGCCTGATGCGTTTCGCTGCTGCGGAGCGAGGCGCATCACCTGCTTTGTCCTGTGGTGACGCACCTCACTGATGCGGCCGGCGAGCACTCCGCTGTTTTTGCGGTCGGTAGATCTTTTAGAACTGCAGTTCAAAGGTAACTCATAAGGTGAATATATATGAACCCAGGTGGCAGTTTTTCTTAAGGATTGAGAGGAGATGCAGGAAGATAATAAACAGGCAGGACAGAAAAATAGTCAAATAAAAACAAGTTAGTTTTTGTACCTGCTGGTTGCAACAAACAGACACCATTGAAGGTAATCAGAAGTGAGGAACAGAAAATGAAATAATTATTTTAGTCTTTAGAGCAGCAGGAACTCCGAGAGACTGCAGGCGCATCAGTGAGTTTGCGGCCGCCGCGCAGGGGGAGGGGGAGGGGGGAGAGGGCTGAAGCAGAAACTACCGTTGTTAAAAGAAATGTGTTTAACTTAGAAAATGTGGACGCAATTTTAATTGTCAAAAACTCCAGCGAACCTACCGACCCCCGCACCTCCGCAGTCAATGGACAGAAACCACAACCGCCCAACAGGAAAGGGAGCAAGCACAGCTTCCATTATTTCAAAATAAATCGATAAACAAAAAGCGTTTTTTGTTTCAAATGCACAGGTTTAACAACTTTTAACAACTACAATGGCGGTTGAACTTTAAATGCACAAAAGTAAGCCATAAATACAGTTTCCACTATCAAGGTAGTCACCCTTTGTTGATCCAAACACTGCTGATCTCTCAACACAAATGATGGGCAGATTAAACAGTTCATTTCGATGCTTCTCCCACACAACGGGTGTTTGGATCTAACTTCCGCGTTTATTGCTCAGACTGTATCGCAAGATCTCGAAAATCCCGCGGATGCTTGTTTGCGCACCTCAGGTCTCCGCACCGGAGCAGAGCCGTTGCATAATTTGAGTTCGGAAGCGAGCGGCTGCGGAAGGCGGGGGCGGAGCGGAGGTAGTGGAATTTTGGGGTAAGTGCTACATAACGCTTTTGCTGCTACTGCTGATGATATCCAGGACTTCACTTATTGTGATTATATATTATTATTTTGTATTAAGCAACTGGATATAAGCAGCTATAAAGTGTAACCTTTTACATTATATTATAAAACAAAGCCTGAGGTGGTCCAGAGTGGGGTTATTAGACTTAACAGCTCATCAGCACAGATCTGAAAACAAAACCCAGGTGAGGAAACAGGTGAGTTGAGCTGCATCTTCACAGAGTGAACAAATAATTAGACAAATTCACATTGAAAAGACAGTTTAAAAAAGCTTAATTTCTATGAAAAAAATATGTTGTTGTATGCAAGAAGGTCACTTCTTACATAAAAACTAAATAATTTTTTAAAATGTAGGAGGAAGCTTGTTCAAATGTGTCAACACAGTGAACTTAAAACAAGTTTTAAACAACAATCTTTGGACGGTGCAAGGTGAGTTTTTAAGTTTCTCTTTTGACTAAAGGTTGGTTTATGCTTGACGCGTCCGCGAGGTCCGCATGGCGAAATTGCGCCATTTTAACAACCACGCCCCTCCACCGCGCCTCCGCACGGCCCAAAATTTCCGCAACGCGCACCTAGGAAAATTTCTAACCACGCAGACAGTCGGACGCGGAAAAACATGGCGGACTGGCAGTAACTAGTATGGCAGAGGTTCGTAAATACAGACATTTGTATGATTCAGCTCTCAGAGATCACCGTGATCAACATGTTAATAATTCTTGGAGAGAAATAGCTCGCACTGTCGGAAAAGACGAGGACGCTGTTAAAAAATGCTGGAATGCCATGTTGTAAACAGTAATTTCTACTTCTACTATGGTGTAGTGTTGGACGCATGCCGTAGAGCTCCATGCTGCCCCCTACAATATTGGCTCACCGCAGAGACAAGCCGCAGTAACCATAAACGCAGCAAGTTGTGAAGCACGTTCCATCCGCGAGCGGCATCACCAAGCGGAAAGTGAATGCGTCAAGCATAAAGCAAGCTTTAATCGTTGCTGCAGCACGTTGGTGTAGATTCTCAGTCATCCTGGACATGATCATCCTGAGAGTTTCAGCTGAAAACAGCTGAACTTTTTGGTTTTGTTGAAGACATCCTAGAGGCTTCTTCAGTTCCCATACTTTGGTTGTGGTCAGAAACAGTTTTTTTTTATCTTTCTTTCTTGAAAACATATTATGGCATCTTAATGCCATGATCATCAGCTTAGCCGAGATGAAAATGAATCGTTTTCAAGTGGAAGATAAGTACGCTCTATCCAGGTTGGGAATGAGTCTCCTTTTAGAGTTGTCCTGGTTTTAGTGGAGGGGCTTCCTCTGTGGTGGCTGGGCTCAGCCTTAGGGATTTAAAGATGAGGAACCCTGTTGTTGAGGGTCTGACCTCATGAGGAAATTACTATGCAGTGATTTTCTCCAAAATGACTGTGCTTAAATTGCTCTGAAAAGCAAATAATCACATCAGCGCCAAGAAACTTCATTTCCCATGATGCTTTGCACACGGAAGCATTGTGATGACGTCACCGCCTAGTACCAGAAACACGTTCTGCGCATGTGCGGGAAGCCGTGGAGCTTTTCCCGCGAACTAAGACCATAAATCTTCAGCAGAGACAAAGAATCCTCGTTCTTTTGCCCAGGATACCTGGCGGTAAGGACACGCTTGTCAACGCTCCGACTCCCTTGAGCACGCGGAAGCTCTAAGTGCCAAGTTGAGCCCACGGAACTGCTGGAAACTAAACTGCAAGCCCATCAGATCTGCTCGTTTCTGCTCCCCTCCAGCTGATGTTTGAGGACACAGAACTGCGGAGGAAAGCAACAACTCCATCAAGCACGCTGTAAGTTATAACTCAGCACAGAAAGAAACTTTGCTGTCTCTGTCCAGCCCGTGGAGAAACACTCGTGAACGCCAAACAACGGAGAAAGCATCAAACCGACGGACGACGCCGAAAGCTGCGGAGAAACACGGAGAACCGTCAAATCAAAACAGTGAGGGACGCTTCACTGTTCTGGTGATCAGAAACTCATCTCTTTCTCTCATTCTTTCCTTCTCCCGTTTCCTCAATAGTCTCGAATAAGCAATAAACCGCGTCTATTGCTTAAAAGTAGCTTCGTTCTTTCCTCTTTCGTCCCAAACACGTCAGTCGGGTCATTTTGAAAGAATAAACTGCTTATTGATCATTGTTTGGTATCTTTAAATGTTTTCTGCTTGGCCACGTGGTTAAACTAAAAGATATTATTCGTGATTAATCTTTTGTGTTGTTTCATGATCTTTTGAAATGTTTTGAGTGATTTAAGGTTAAGTTACTACTGATTCTAAGTGCTTTGGAAGTTAAAGTGCAAGTTGCCACCCACACTTTAGCCAGACAAAGGGGTCAGCCATCTTGTATTCAAGACTCCATTTTGAATCCATACACACACACACACACACACACACACACACACACACACACACACACTACTCCTTTGTGAGAACAAAGGACCCCATTCATACATCCTCCATCACATGCAAACACATCCATCTTCAATCATATCACATGGTTATTATTCATCTATTCCACTGTTTATTCATTTGACAAATTGTTAATTAAATGTTATAAAATTCAGATTTTTGTGTCCAGTAGCTTTGTTGTGTCGAAGAGAAGTCTCTGCTCCAAGGATTCTACGAACTTCAAGAAAGACTGATAAGAGTTTTGGATTCAATTTTTCCCCGGAAAAAGGGGAATGGTGCCCCGTATATCTAAGAATATCTTAATTAATTAATAAATCAGTAAATATTCCCATATTTACAGAATTTATTGAAGAATCCAAAAGTAAGTTGAAGCTTACTAATTGTTCGCTCCTAATAACCCCAACATTTTATTGGTGCCCCGTGTGAGGCTTGGATACACAGAGATTTCTATCCGGCACAAACAAACAAATAAATCCAAAGAGCTTGAATTAAAAATAATCCGTTGTTCAGCCTTGAACCAGCAACAGAGTGGTGCTGATTTCGCTGAGCAGGAAGCTGCATCGAACTCTCACCAGTAACTCAGTGCTTCTTTAAAGGTGCAACGTGTAAATTAATTCTGGTTGACCTTTTAGGTTAAAAATTCAGTTTTTCCTTAAAGGTGCAACGTGTAATTAATTCTGGCTAACCTTTTAGGTTAAAATTCAGCTTTTCCTTAAATGTGCAACGTGTAATTAATTCTGGCTAACCTTTTGGGTTAAAATTCAGTTTTTCCTTAAAGGTGCAACGTGTAATTAATTCTGGCTAACCTTTTAGGTTAAAATTCAGTTCCTCATTAAAGGTGCAGCGTGTAAGTAATTCTGACTAACCCTTTTAGGCTAAAATTAACTGCTAATTTAGCGACTTTAACTCACAGTGGCTATTGTAACTAACTGAAACCTTCACTCAAAGACTGATAACACCCTGTTTGCTAATATTCTGAAGGAATAACTAGCATATTTAACACTGCAAGTGTTGTAAGACGTTG